CAGACACAGTGAGTAGAGCTCCTTTCAGAATGGGGGACGGGAGGCTTCTCTTTAGACCAGAGGTGGCCGGAGTCTGGGACAGGGTGCCCAGCCGTGTGGTTGAACCTGGGCTACACCTGGGTTTTTTCCAAGGAATAGCTGGAAGAGATCCTAAGATCCCATTACCCGGGGAAAGCCAGATGGGCTGAATGACCAACTCGCGTTGGATGCCGTTTTGATGTCCTCTTCGGTCTCCTGCCCAAAAAGTGGCACCTCGGGTCTTGTGAGCTCTTGTGGGCTTAACCAAGCCAGTTATTCGCTTGAGTTGATGAAGAGCAGAAGAGTAGATCTTCAGGACTCGTAGAACCAGAGCTGCCCGATTCAACATTTTCCTCCTGGTCCAGGACACACTTGCACAGTGGTCCAACTATAACAGAGGTGCTGGCTCTCAATCAATAAATCAATCCCCTATCAGTCTTTTTTTTTTTTAATCCAGCGCTATCTCTAATTGCTCTACAGTGCCAGTGGTTATTCGGTAAAAGATCAAAGCAATGATTTGATCAATGGCTCATGTTCATATCTGATACACTATTGACAAAACTGCGAACAGATACAATCTGCTTTGGAAGGTTTGTAGCCACTGATAAGGGCCTCTGTTCTTCTGTCTTTCAAATCCCAGGCTTTGTCATGCATACAGTAATTTCTGAAATACAAAGGGAGTAACAGGCGTAAGCCAGGTTTGAAGACGTTGGTGAATTTTAGTAGAGGGTCATAAGCAATTGAAAAATAAAATCGCAGAATGTCATTGTGCTGCCATGCTCGGTGCCTGCAGTCAGAATCGCCGGCCTGTTGGTACTCGAGAGCCCTACCAGTGGTAAAAGTCTGTGAACTCTGAATCTGCAGTCCTGTCAGACCAGAAGCCCGGAGTCGTGTCAAAGGACATTAGTTCTTAGAATGGAGGTGGACACTGGCCACATGTTTGTCTTGGGCACAGCACTCTGTAAACACTCTGCAAAGTTTACTTTTGCGTGAGTAAAAAAGAACTGCGTATCTGAGTTTCATGACACGCTTTTTTCTGTCAATTAACTCTTCATTCATTGTTTATAGCTGAACAATTAGCTTTTGAATGGATCTTACTCATCATCCTCTTGCTTGTGTGTAAGTATGGTTGCAGACAATAACAA